TCCCTCCCTCCCTCCCTCCCTCCCCAGAGAAGAGCTGGGCATGCTGAAAGAAGAAATGGGCCAGAAATTGGCCAAGGAGCAAGATCAAATGAAATCACTGCAAGGAGAGCAGCAGCGCAGGATGAATGCCGAGCGGGTGCTGAAGCACGTGGCTCAGGGCCTGAAGGAAGTGCTGGCGGTGAGCTTTGACCGGCAGACCCACCTGGACCCCGGGAAGGGCTTTGCAGCAAATGCTCGGTGCGCAACTCAGTACAGCAGTAATACACCGAGTGGACCCAGAGCCCAAATCCAGCCACTTGCTAAACTGCCCAAGAGGGAGTTTATTTTATGGATTGCTCAGATTGACCTCCCACCTCGTCCCCTGCATCTCGAGGGGGCCAAGCGAGCCCCCCGCTTCCCATTTTAATCCCCACAGACCAACCGCCCTGCAAGGTAGGCTGGGCGAAGAGCGCGACTGGCCCAAAGCAAGCAGGGCATTGCCACGGCTGAGGGCAGGCGTGCATCTGGGTCTCCCCGGTCCTGCTCTGGGGTCTTAACCGTTATACCTCAAGCATGGCCCTAGAGGAAAGTTGGGGAAGAGGAAGATCAGGACCTCTTGCAGTCGTTTTGAACAAAGGCGAGGGATCAAGCTGTGGGGCGGTGGAGCAACAAAATGACCCCCCCCAAAGAGCAGGGTGTTTAGGAAGGGTGGAGGAAACGAAGATACTCTCACAACCCGTTTGGAGAGGGAGGTTCGGACGCGTGGCTACTCTCCCCAAAGAGACACGCTCTCTGAAGGAAACGTCCTGCTGGAGAGGGGAGCTTTGTATGGTTGGAAAATTAAAAAATTAGAAAGCCAGTTGTGGCATGGGTTGTTAGGGCTCCGCAAGCAGCCTTCTCTCTGCGTCATGGTCCGACGCGCGCATTTGGGTTGCACTGAGAACGCCGGTTGTGCTTTGCAATTCAGGCGGCCCCGAGCCATTTTTCTCAGCTGGGCAACGCTCCCTCTCTGCTCCCCCAGGAACGGCCGCTGGAGGACGAAGAAGACGGCGACTTTGACGTGGTCTTCCAGCTGCGGCGCAACGACGCCTTGCACGGCATCCTGAACCTTCTGCGCAGGAGCATCGCCCGCCTGGAAGCGCACCAAGCCCTCCACCCCGTCCAGATAGAGAGCAAGCTGGTCAAGGTCACCAACTTGACCACGAGGTGTGCGCCCCAGAGGGGAAGAGCTGCTCTCCGAGCGGGAGCTGGGGGAGGCGAGAGCCAAGCCCTGTCGCGTCGGCGCCCTGAGACGGGCAAGGAAAGCACAGGGCACCTTCCCTGGTTTGGACCAAGGCTGGGAGTTTGTGGGGAGCCACCGAGCCCAAACCCTTTGCCCCACGTGTCCTTTGTGGCAAGCGGGCCTGATGCCTGGACAGTGGCTGGGATCACTTGCTAAACGAGCCGTCAGCCCTTGAAAAATGAAGGGAGGCGTGGGATCGTGGGGCTGGGTCCTGCCGCTTCCCCGTGATGGGACTCAGCCCGTCCTTTCCGCCCACAGCTCCTCTACCGAATGGCGCATGAAGGCTTCCCGCACGATGTCTCACTGCAACATCTTCAATTTACCGAAGCCGAGGCCTGTCCACAGCATGCCGTCCATGGTTTCTCTCTCTGCCAAACAGCTGGTCACCCTCCGCCCGTACGCCAGCGCGACCGAGGTCAGTGGGGTGCAGGGCTCAGCGGGGCTGGGAAGGGGAGGACCAGCTGCTAAACAAACAGGATTGCCTGAGAAAGATGCCGACCAAGGGTGGCTTTTGCACCTTGGACAGAAGGCTGGACTCGCCTCGTTTGGGCAGGGAAGGCCTCTTGCTTCCCGGAGCAGTCAGCTCGTAGGGTTAAGGGTGGAGGCGCGCTCTCCTGCAGTTTCCTCCCGTTGCTTCTAGTCCTCATGAAACAACCCCCATCTTGAATTCCCGTTGCTTCCTCTGCAGACTTTACTCGGGTCATGGAAAAGCGAGGGGTGCGCCAGCGTCACCCCGCCAGTCAGGGAACCCATCCAGGTGCCGGAGAAAGCCGTCCAGGGGCCCAAGGAAGTGGTCCAGGAAAAGCATGACTTGCCAGAAATAGTGACTCACATCGCCACGCAGGAGCTGCTCAGCAAGTAGAACAGAGGAGGGTGGCCGAGCCCGTCCCTCCCCGGGAGAGCGGCACGCAGGGATGTTGCTTTGTTCTTAAAAATACATGGAATGACCTGTGCAAAAGCTGATAAAAAAAAAGGTTACAGAGCCTCGTAGCTAGGAGTGAGAAATGGGAATGGATCGCCGTGGCTCTGTCTGCAGTTGGCGCCCAAGAGAATTTGCCTGCTCTGGGTGTAAAGCCATTGCAAAGGCGCAGGGGGGCCACATACCCTGCCGTTAGCCCAAACTGATTTTTTTTGCCTATAGCCGAATTAAAGTGGAAGGTAGACTTCGACCTTAGAGCCCCAAAGTGTTCCTTTTTAAAGAGGGTGGAAAAGAGAAGCAGTTCGCCACTCCTGGGGGGCAGGGGGTGGACTGACTGCCTTTCCTCCAGGCCTCGCGCGAATCGCTGTTTTAAAACGCACACCCAATTTGAGGGCAGCAGAACTGCAAGTTATATTTTCTCATCGCGACAAGCCTGCTCACCGATGCAGGGCCATCGGGAATGACTACGGCCACCAGTGTTCAAACGTGGACTTTGCAAGAGCTAGAATTATTTTCCATTTCCCTTAAAACTTAGGACACAGAACGAATGATCACAGCATGTGTGTGTGTGTTTGTTGCCCACATCCTCAGCCTCTCCTCTGCTTTTGTAAGCCCCCTCCCTGTTCATGTGTCATGGCGTGATCATCCTGGTTTGGCCCCTCAGACACCCTAACCCACGTTTCCTAGCTCAGGGCTGCCGACCGCACACAGACTTGGGTCCGTCCAAAGACACGCACACCCCGACTGCTTTCACTGGCCAGTCTTATAGGTGAGTTCAAGATGTGCCTTCTGTCTTGTGAGGGGGGCTGGCCAGTCCTCCACAGGGCCCGGGGGGCTCCTCTCGGCCGCAGTTCTGTTGGATGTGCTGCAGCAGGATCACGGCTGCGCGCTCAAAGACGTGCGGTAAGACCTCTTGCTCTGTGCGGGTGAATGGGCTGAGCACATAGTCGTCCACGGCCACCCTCCCTGTGGGACGGCCGATGCCGACCCTGAGGCGGACCATGCGCTGCCGGGGAGAAGAGAGAAAAGGCGTGAAGGATCTGCAGTTGGGGGGAATTCTCCAAACCCAACCAGCTTGACCAAAGGCATCGTTAGATCAGCCAACCACTTTCCCTTCATCATAGGGCCTTGCCCCCATTCGTGGCAGAAGGACATCAGCAGAGGGAGGCTGGCTGGAACTACAGTCCTGGTTATGCGCAGGCAGGCAGTTCCAACAATGTACAGCGTGGTTTTTTAGGCGGGTGTTTCGGCCTCGCTGGTGCCACATCTGTTTCCTATTTGACTAGGCTCCACCCCGGCGTTGGGCCCAAGCAAGAAATCTAACCCCGCCAAGCGTGCAAAGGGGGTTTGCTCAGGGTAAGCCAAGACAGGCCTGGCTGCTGATGCTTAGGAATGGGAGCCAGGAATCTCATGTTCGGGCAGAAACAAGAGGACGTAAGGGAGGGATCTAGAAGCCAAACCATGACGTACGTCAGAGCGCAGCGAACTGATGCAGGAACGGACTCCGTTGTGGCCTCTGAAAGATAAACAAGGCCTGTGAGATCCTGTCGTTCCTTCCAGATGGGTTTATTCAGGTTCAATCCTGGCTTAACGGTGGCTTAGGAACCCGCTTAAGGCTGAGCCAAAAATGAGCAAGCCACATTAGAGGTGTGAACCCCAGCCGTGGAGCTAGATTGGAAACCATCTGGAGAAACATACTAGAGGGTGGAATGTGGAATTATAGGTATTTGTATGAGTTGATTGACCAGGATTGCCTGACTGATTAAGTACCCTCAAGTCAGCGTTGACTCTTAGTGACCACATAGATGTTCTCCAGAATGAACTATCCTCAACTTGACTTTTTAGAGCTCTCATTTCTTGTGGTTGTAATCAAATCCCTCCACCTTGCTGAGCTTTGAGTAAGAACTCTAGACTGATTTGTTCTGTGGCTTATTCATTTGTTTTCCTCTCTATATTAAAAAAAAACAACTTTCTATGGCTATTATACTATGAATAAGGGGTCTAAAGGTATCTATAAACCAAAGATGTAACTGTTCTGCATCAAGTACCTTGCACTGCCCCCCAGTTTCAGGGAGACCTTCCCCAGAGGCTTTTCCAAGTCATCATGAACCAGGTAAATATCTTCAATGTCCAGATTGTACCTTTCCGCTGACAAGAGAGAAGAGATGGTCAGTGGGAGAGATCGATCCAGTTGGAGACAACTGGTTTAAATAGTCTGTTCTTGTGATGTTGAGTCCAAAGAAAGTACTCCTGCCGAGTTCTTCAAACCCAGAGACTGTGGGTTTATTGAGGGAATGGAGAAAAGTGGCATTTCCAGATATTTGATTAACTCTTAGGGTCACGGGAAGGAGATGACTACTAGAGAGAACAAGAAGTGGAGAACGTCATCAGTGTGACATCTATCATCTACCCATCCACCCACCCAGGCTTTTTCCCATCCTGTATAATTCATACATTGCTCTATGATTTGTTAGACAATGTTCTTGTAAACCATGGTTTCTATTTTACTGTCTGGTACGCACAACTGAGCCACAAATTAGTCCAAAACGTGTTAGCCTTGTGCATGTTGGGCAAGACCAGCTGCAGGATTAGTTTATGGTTCAATTCATTGTGCGACCCATAAACAAATTGGGGGAATTGAGTAACCCAAGGTTAGACCAACCACGGGAAATGTGTTGTTTGAACTGTAGTGTGAATCCCGTCATTGGTGGCATATTCAACAAACCACAGATGAAACGACAGGTGGCTTAGCTGCCTGTTAGGATGTGGACCTTGCAGAGGGAGGGGGCCATCCGCTACGAGGGGGGAGGTAGAATGAAAGCCTGTGGTACCAGTGGTGACCACGGAGATCCCATTCAGGTTCATGAACTTGCGCGGTTTCATCAGCAAGAGCTCAGCGTCTCCTAGACGGGCCACGGCCGTGTCTGCACAGCATCGCTTGTCTGTTTTCCACTGGTCAGCCACGTTCAGCTGGGAGGCAAGATGGTTCAGCACCGCCATGCCCACACTGTGCCGGGTACCAGGGAACGTGTAGTTGCCCAGGCCAGCCACCTGCAAAGGAGGAGGAGAAGCAATGAATGGTCCAAAGGCATGGATTTACGTTGATGGTCGTCTTCCCTAACACTCCCCCAGATGTTCTGGATTACAGATCATATTGTCCCCAAGCTTTGGACATGCGGCTGGGACCACAGGAACTGGAGGCCAAGCTGAGCAAATTTTCCTAATTTCATTCCCTTTAAATCCAGTTTTTCCTTGGATGGAAACTATCCTGACGCTGATGGATCATTGAGGAACATTGCATGGTGAGAGGTGGAAACTGAGAACAACAGTGGCAACTGTTTTAATAGTCCCTTGGAGCCGAAGCTGAGATCTAATCTGAATATTAATGGAAGCCTGCATCCAAAACAGCTGGAAGGAACAGCTGACACACCGCCCCATCTTTATTTCCAGGGCTTCGCCCTTCTGGACCCGCATATGGAGGTTTTCTGTTATACCGAACCGGAAGTCTAGTGTGATGGCTTCTCTTGCTTTACCCCTTTGGGTAAGTTGGCCCGCCCAAACCGGAAGCGATTGACTCCGGACCGGAAGGAGCCTCGCCATGATGGGGCTCGCTCGCTCGCTCGCACGCGGCTGGCTTACCATCACCCGTTTCTGGACGGTTGGTAGCTCGTCGCTGCGGTGACTCAGAGCCCATCGTAGGAGCCGTCCGAGGGGCTGAGAAGGCATCATGGCCTCTCCGGCCTGCCTCTTCCCCCTTCCCGAGGGCCCAGTTCCGGTGCCGGCCGCAAACTAAAAATAAACCCGACTTCGGCGGCACCGGCTTTGCCTCCTGGCTCAGTTAGTGTGACGTCATCGGGCCTGTGGCCTATCACGGAAGCCCTGGTAGGAAGCGTGCAGGAGGTTTCTGCGGCCATCTTTGTTGTGGGCGGAAGCTCGGGTCTCCTGTAACTTCGCTGCGCTTAAGGTCAAGCGCAAATCTCAGCAATGAAGTAAAAATGCTTAGGAAGTTGCAGATGTGCAACTTGCTGTTTTTCACCCTGGAAATTAAAGTCGCAGCCTCAAGAAAAAGTCCTGAGCAGCAATATATTATAATACTTACTATTTATAAAATATAAATTCACTAAATAAATAAATAAATAATAGGAATAAAAATGATAGGAATTTGAGGGTTGTCGTTGAGGGCAGCTTATTCCCAGGCAGCACCATGGCAAAATGCAGGCTGGGCATCGCAGGGTCCCGTTTGTTCCCAAAGAAATCCAGTTCCAGCCGGAGAATGGTTTTCTAGACGCAGAACTAGAAATAAATAATAAGTAAAGAAAGCGTGCTTTACTGGAGACCCAGATGACCTCTCAGAACAAGTGCCCCGCAAAAGGGCATATAAAGATTTTAACAATTTTGTTAAGTACAGGGAGTCCTCGTTTAGCGTCTGCAATTGGGACCGGTCACTCGGTTATTAAGTGAAGTGGTTGCTAAGTGAAACCATGACTGTGCTCATGATCTGACTTCAGCTTTCCTTCGCTTTACAGACCTGTGAAGGTTGTCAATGTGAGGATTGGTGCAAAGTTACTTTTTCACCACTGTCGTAACTGCGAACTGTTGCTAAACGAGGCAGTCCTTAAACAAGGACTACCTGTATTTGAGAAAGAAGTCTGGCATCTCACGAAGCAGTGTAAAATCCTGGGAAGGCAGCACTCCCCTTCCACCGCTCTTTAATGATGCAACCGAGGCATCGTGTGTGCTGTTTCTCGCATCTCATATAGCCCTTTGGTGGATTTTAATCTTGCATGCTGCTTCGGGGATCCTTTTAAGGGAGAGCTGAAAGTCCAGGTGGCAATTTCCTAAAAGTCAGTGCAATGAGGAACACAGCCGCTGGGCCGAAACTACGTCATGACTTTTTGGCTGTGGGTAATATCAGAACCAGAGCCCTTGCAGCCTCCTCTGTTGCGTGGAAAAGTGCCATCAAAGGATTGCCCTAAACTAAAGACTTGGAAACGTGTCAAGGAAAGCTTTTTTCCCCTCCGTTTTGCTTTAGTTTCTAGCAGCCGATGGGAAGTTTGAGCCTGCGGAGCGGTTGACATAGAAACCAGAGGACGCAGATCGCGGAGTTGCGGAGGAGCGATGGAGGATGAAGAGGAGGTCGAGGAACCAAAAGCAAAGCCGGTGAGTGAAAAGTTGCACCTAGCAGAGAGCAAATGGGTGGGACGGGACTAGGAGACGCACGGGTGGAGGGAATAGCATGTGCTGTCTTCTTGTGGTGAAGGATACAAAATCTTCATCTCAGAATTGAGACTGCCGTTCTACCCATAACGATTTTGCAGAAGTACGGAACCAGCTTCCTCAGAATGCAGCTTCGCTTTTTTGAGACTCGTTCCTTCTGGGTGGGAGTTGGCTTTTAACGATGCCCTTTTTGGCTAGTGGTTTCAATCGGTTGGGTGTCCCCCTTTTTTCCTCTCACGGTTGTGGTTGCAGCCAACTGGGGAAAACGCTCTGCAGGTGTCCTGATTTTCTCGTCCTTCCTATCCTACAGGAGGTGAAGATGACGACGATCATTTTGGGACTCTTCCCCACTGCTGTCACCGAAGAAAAACTTCACGAAGCCCGGGAAAAATCCATCACTCGTATTTTTGGGCCTGCGAAGACTTTGCTGAAGGTTAAAAACCCCGAAAAAGTAGGGGATTTTGAAGGCATTTTGCAGAAGAAAATAGAGGAGCAGTAAGTGTCAGCTTCCTCCTCCCTGTTCGTGATGCGTGAGGGTCAGCGAATAATCCGTAATTTGCTTGAAACGTTTAAAGCTCAGCTTGAAACCATGGTGGGGTTTGTATTAACGAAGGCAACTGTGTCTTGGTGTGGTGAACCGATAGGCGTGTTGGGTTGGATGGCATCTGTTTGGGTCACTCCTGATTTAGTTTTGGATCGGGCCAAAGAGGATCCAGGCAGGAGTAACCTAAAGAAAAGAAAGGAAAAACAAACCAGGCCAAACAAGCAATGCTTTTTCCCTGACCTGCAAAATAATCAGCCCTTCCATTGTCTTTCCCGTGTCTAGACAGAAAATCTGCCAGCTAATGGCATTTACGGCTTGTTAGCAAAGCGTGGCTGAATAGATGTGAACTGAATGATGCTGTCTGCACGGGTGAATTGTTGGTCCCTAATTCTTCGTCCAAATATTTAAAGGTGCTTTGGGCTGGCGAGAGGAGAATGGGTGTCTGGTACCGACGTCTGGGGTTTACTGTTGTTTTTTTCAGCTGCCAAGAAGGTCACACATACTTCTCCCAAGGGGAATGGGAGAAAGCCATCACTTGCTACACCAAAGCTCTGAATCTGGATCCTAACAAGGTAGCAGTTGGGGATGGGAGTTGGGAACCTCATTATGAAAAACCTAAAATCATCATCGTCATCATCGTCCAAGTTGGTGCTGGTTTGTGGCCTCCTTCATCACCTGGGTGAGGTATCTGCCTTACTCTGCCTAATGGTGCAGCTGGCCCAGCTGCTGGGACAGGATTTCCTGTCCATGTTGGGAAATCATCTGCCAGGTTAGAAGCGCAGGCTAGGCGGACTTTCAGGCACGGAGTCCGTTGGGGGGAACCAAGCAGGGCAGGATACGACCACTGGTGCCAAGGGGCTTCTTCTGAAGGCCGCCGCGGGTTCTTCTCCATAGGGCGAACTGTACGAGAAGAAAGCAGAAGCTTTTGTCCAGCTCTGCGACTTCCAGTCCGCTGCAGTGCACCTTCGGAAGGTCTATTGTATGACACCAAGGGAGGATATCCAAGCACGCCTGGCCTTCATTTTATACGTACAGGTGGAGTTGATGATATTCTTGGAAAGCCTGCCTGCCTGCCTGCCTGCCTGCCTGCCTGCCTG